GCCATTTATTTTTGTTAATTTACTACTTCGTTTAGGATTTTAATAAAAATATGCTCAAAGTAAATTAAAATTTATTCTTGAGGACTAGATTTTTTTTCATGTATGATCTTCACAACCTCACGGTACGATGGCTTGTGTAAAGAATCTGTGATGTTTGTATCATAAAATATATTTTACAGTAATAATACATTTCATCGCACAAGCCGGATTTTCACCAATCTCGTTCCCAGAGTCCTCGTTACCCTTGTCCAGCGGTGGAGCGGCCAACAAGGACCTCTGGGGGGAAGCGATCCGACATGACCGGATTCTAGGACTTCCGGCTCCATTGCGCATGTGTTTGACCCTATGTTTCAACTAACGGACGCCAAGATTCTTGGCTTCCTGTCTTACTGCGCAAGTCAGGCGGATCACTCTATCCCAGAGGTCCTTGTTGACCGCTCCACCGCTCCACAAGGGTAACGAGGACTCTGGGAACGAGATTGGATTTTCACTAATGAATGAGCGTTATATTCAAGCGCAGTTCTTCCATGTGGCACTCCGACGCTAATGTTCATAACTGGTTGATTGCAGAGCCATTATGCGATACCATGGCCTGAAGATGGCGGAGATAAATAAAATCATTAAAGAGTATTGGATAAATACTTACAAAGGAAATGGTAAGAGTCGTCACCATCACCTATCCTCTGTATACCACGTGGCACATAATGCCTCTATGGCAAGATCATATATTCTACCTATTTATTCATCGGTATCAGTGCTCTTTAGTTACTGTCTTTTACTTTTGTCCCGCGGTTGATTTCAAATCTGTTTTCTCCTTGGTTATCACTTAAAGGGGCTATGTCACGATATTTTAAGTCATTTTTGCGAAGTGCAAAATCACCTTCAAACTGACTGAAGAAAGCCTCAAAATAATAGTTAACTAAGGTAGAAAAACAACAAAGAGGTGATAATAAACCAAACAGGAGCAAGGATGTTTTAGGATGGAGAAGATTTAGCCTGCGTCGCAGACGGACTTGACCGCCGGTAATGTCCGTCTGCGAATTAGTGCACAAATCCTTGTTCTAGACCCCCAACGACGTACCAGGATCTGAGTACTTGTCTGTGATTGGCCTTTACATAAAGCCATTGTTCAATTAGCTATGATTTGGTTATGATTGGCTAAGGGAATTTCACGCGAGCTAGGACCGGAAGCTAGCGGAAAGCGAGCCTAAAAATAGTACAGTATTAAAAAAATCACTGAAGATATAATGGAGTGCAGAAGCGGTTAGAGAAAGCTCAGTTTGAATTAACGGAGCTACTCCCAGAACAACGAGAAGCGATCAAAATCTTTCTTCCAGGGGAAAAACGTGTTTATCAATTTACCCACAGGTTTTGGAAAGTCGTTGATCTTTCAGTGTCTCCCGATTGTCGCAGTCGCTGATATATGATCGACTGTTATTGTTGTGATTTCACCTTTACGATCGCTGATGGAGGATCAAGTTTATATATTTCAAACAATATGGGTACGGTACCGGGTATACTGGCGATTGCATGCTATCACGGACTTGGAAGACCCAGAAACTATTCAGCAGGTTTTAAATGGGAACTACCTTGTTCGGTTTGCCGAGTGTTTGTTGTCTAAACTAACGCGTTGTAAATATCTGTTTGCCCGACAGGAGACCAAACGTGACCTCTTAAAATTTGCTAGAGTGAACACAGTCGATGGCTCTATAGCTATTTTACTTCAAAATCCTCCTCATAATACAACATATCTTGCCCGTTAGAAACACTCTTGAAGGGCAAAGTAGGTCAGAAGACCGAATTCAATAGAGAACGGCAAATGTCACGAACTTCGAACAGGCCTGTCACGCCTTTTACCATAGCCAATCAGAATAAAGGGGATTTCGAAAGGCCTTTCCGGTATTTCGTTACGTCGTTGGGGGTCTAGAACAAGGATTTGTGCACTAATTCGCAGACGGACATTACCGGCGGTCAAGTCCGTCTGCGACGCAGGCTAGAGAAGATTAAGACGGATTGCGAACGGCGAACTTGAAACAAATGGCCAATTTTTTCAAGGATGTGCCATCCGTGACGTAGCTCCATTAACACAGGGAAACTAATTTGGCAACAGCTGAAAATTGAACCAAATGTAAAGCAAATGTACCTTTCTTCTTTTGTTAAGGCATTTTGAGAGAGAAGTGGAAGGGAGAAGGATTCTATATACAGAAGGGGAGGGGCTTATATCAAATAATAAATCACCTAGATGTAGATAGATGTAGGATAGGTCTTAAAACATAAGAAGAAATTGTGCGACATTCATACCCGTGTCGCCATGTTGTTCGCTAACCTGGCTGTCTGAGTCCTTTCGCTCAGCTTGGGTTCGAGTACGCTGCCACCACGCCACAAGATTACTAGTAAGATCCAACACCAGGCTAGCAAGAGGTAAATCGTCTTTAATGGAAGACACGTTGATCACACAACAACCAAATCAAAATGGCTGACCGAGAGACGCCGACCCAGGGTCGCGCAGTTCTACACATGCGGCCGCTGACCTAAACTAACAACAAAACTAATAACAATAATAATGGCGTTACACCATCGTGGGGAAAAGAAGGGGGGGGGGGGGGGGGGGGGATGGTGGGTGGGACGAGAATGGGGTAAGGAGGCTTATTAAAAATATGAAGTTATAGAGGAGCCAGAATATACTTTTTCATAGTGGGGATCGATCATGTGTTTCTAATTTGTTCCTGTAGATATCGACACCATTGAAATTCGCTCAGACGAGGAAGAAGGAAGCGGAGCAACTAAAACACGACGAACGTATAACTACAGGGTTAGTAGACTTCATTTTGTAAGTATTGTCCTATTTATATAACTGGTGTCTAAGATTGCAGTTTCACATTTCGTTCAACTTTTTTTCGAAGTGCATGGACTCAACTTTTCAGAAAAGTGACATAAGCTCGCTCTATCATAATATGGGATGAGCTACTTTCGCGATAACGCGAGAAAATGAGATTATAATTGTTTCCTGTTGAAGTACATAGTACTGATTTATCTAAGAATAGAAACATTTACCGTGTTTGTACAGTGGATTAGTACTCTGGGACAAGTTCCCTCGTTTGTATCCTCCTTTATTCTTTTCAGGTGGTTATGATTAAGGGTGACACGGCTCTGGACATGAGAGGACGCTGTAGCGCTGGACAGAAGGTGTGTGTGTGTGCTCGAGAAATTGCTGAACCATCTTTTACAATGTCAGTCAAACTGTATGGTAGACATGCAGCGAAATAGCTCATACTGGGTCTCGATTCCAGTCTCACTGGAATGAAAACGCTTGGACTATTATTCGGTAAATCCTCATGGAAACACTTGCTGTCCAATAATTCCAAAAATGGCGCGAAAACAATCGCGAGCATGTTTAAAAATGCATAATAGGTATGCGCAAGAGAGGATGATGTAAAAGGAGCATTCCCCATACATGGGTCTCCTCTAAGGATAATTTTTTTCCGGGACTGTTAAAGGCCTTTTACGCTGCGACGAACGAAAAGAGAATTTTTTTAATTTCTTTGCGGATCTTTTTTATGTTACAGGTTCTGGCCTCGTTGATTATCAGATTAGCTCTGGCGGAAAACATTCTGTTTGAACTGCGGTATATTAACTCTTGACGAACCGACCACAAATTTGGACGAGGACAACATTGAGAGTCTGGCCAACCAGTTAGCTTCGTAAGTTTTGTTTGTTTGTTTAAAACACGTTGTTAGTATCATCAGGGTTGCTCAGATAAGGTCTAGTAAGTTTCCAAGCCGTTTAACTTCAAATACATTTTATACATTCTATCTTTTCATTTCTCTGTTTAACATCCGTTTCATCCACTTTACCATGTACATTAGGTAGGTGATGTTACACGAGACGATTTTTAACGACGATTTTTAATCCGTGTTACACGAGACAACTTTTAACGCAACATTGTTGCGGCAACGGTATGTTACACGATTAACGATTTTTAACGCAACAATGTTGCGTTAAAAATCGTCGTTAAAAATCGTCTCGTGTAACATCACCTTTAGACAGCGGACTCGTACCTTTTACATTTACTGCTATTTTGAAAACGAGATACGCGCTGTGTAAACTAGTGCTCGCTCTGCTTACTTTCCTCAGTTTTCGCCGTACATTGTTGTCGTGAATCTTTTTCAGAGTTATAAGAACCAGACAACTTCAGAGAAACTTTCAACTTGTAGTCATCACTCATGACGAAGAGTTTGTGGAAAATCTTGGCAGAAGTGACTTTGTAGACTACTACTTCAGGATTTACAAGGACGAGAGGTGATATATTATCTCCATTCTAAGAAAGCTGTGCGAAACATTTTATTTAAAAACAATAATAATAATAAAAATTCTCATTTGACCACTCCCCAGTGGGGCTTTTCAGGGTCAATGTAAACAAACAAACAAACAAACACAGAAACAAATATTGCAAATTACCATAATATGGTTAAGAATGGCAGGAGGCTGACCAGTTGGCTATTTTACAATGTTTGCCTAGGAGTTGAACTCGGGACTACTGTGAACAAATCCAGCTAGTGGCAGGATGGAGGGCTTAAATCCGGGACCTCCGGATTACATGACCAGCGCCCTAAAATACTCGACCACGACATTTCCTTTTCCCCTGTTTATGTATTTATAAGCAGAGATTAATTCCCTCCCCGCTCCATAAACCCAGCCCAATAATGCTACTGAACTAGATAGAAGATTATGTCAAGTAGTAAATATTGACACAGTATACATGCCCAGTAGACATTGCTATTCCCCCACCCTCAATAGAATGAATTACGGTATCTGTATCTATAAACAGTTTATTATTCATACTTTTTTAAGTTTTGAAGAAGACATGTTTTCGGATACTACAGTATCCATCATCAATTATAAGAGCTGAATATGAATGAAATCATATATGAACTGCGGATAGAGAATGTAAAGTGTAGAAAATGATCTTCGCAGTTGTGTTTGCAATTTGCTTGCAGTGTGGCTTCATAGCTCAGTTGGTATAGCATCGCTCCGGTAATGCGAAGGTCACGGGATCAAATCCTGTTGCAGCCCTGAATATTTCATGCTTCTTTCTTTGCAATTGCTTAAATTGCAAACAAAACTGCGATAAATCATTTCTTCACTTTACATATTTTACTTTGAATTTAGTTGCAATATTTTGTTGTTCAATTCATAGTTGGTCCGTTTCTATTGTTAGTTTTTCACTATCAAGTTACCCGTCCTTTAGTCGTGTGCGATGTTCGTTGTAATATATTGTTTGTATTTTTTTGCAGTGGTTTTTCAAAGATATCGAGACAGAGCGTAGCTACATTGCGCCGAGAAGAATCTCTTCTGGAATGACCTGTAGTTTCTTTAAATGTTGAAAAAAAATCATGTTGCCCCTTTTTGATACAGATCTCCGCCAAACCGAACCTCTCACGAACAAAGATAAATTGTCTGTTGTTGTTAACTGTTTTGAAACAAACAAACAAATAAAATAGCCGTGTAAAAACCAGTGTTCTAAGATCGTGACTGTCTATTAATCCCTCTTTCATATGGAAAACGCGCTATATAAATACCATTACCATTTCTCTCTCCCCCATTCAGTCATGGGAACAAGTGCCGGTTTTGGAGTTTCCGAATTGTTTTATCCAATCAGAAACTAGCGCGAGCACTCACGAGTACTCCGACGAATTCGCGAAAGCAATCGCGCCGGCCAATACGTCATGTTGCTTAGCGACTTCGGGGACGAACACCGCGGGCTCAGTCACGTCTCGGAGGAGGGATTTCGCCATCAACTGGTACTTGTCCCCCCGACTGTATTACCTTGCGGTACACCTGTAATTAAACTAGCTGTTGTGTCCCTGCAGACTTTGTTCGTAAAGTCTGTTGGACGCACCATTGCCAAAGCTAAGTGCATGTACTGACCACGGTAATTATTGCACCTAACTCTAAAAGGGTAACACTACTACTTATATATTTTTCTTTAGCATCATATGTGGTGGTAGTTGGTACGATAGTTTCCAATGCCTACGTCATTTACTACACATTAAATGTATGTTATTAAGTCGAGGTGGCGTCAACGTCCACATTTTCGGAATTATTCGACTTCTACATCGTCTTCAGCAGATACGACTACCGTAAAAAGCTCAATTAAGCCCCCGGGGGGCTTATTTAATTTCAGGCCTCAAGAAGGGGGGCTTATTAGAGAGGGGGGCTTAATAGAGAGGGGGGGCTTATTTCAAATCATAAATTTTCAAGAAAATTCACATTAATTTTTCAAACTTTACTATTACACCACTAACTAAAACAGAACAAGAAATGGGTTATGTATGACCGTCTTACCAAGGAAACGTCATTTATACCCTAACTCGACGATAGTTCTGGAAATTAAAGACCACGTTTCAATACAAAGTAACTGAAACTACAGAAAATATTGCTGAAAGCCATTTACATCAGCCTGACAGAAGGAGGGGGGGCTTATTACAAAATCTGACTTCCAAAGGGGGGGGGGGCTTATTAGATAGGGGGGGGGGCTTAATAGAGAGGGGGGGGGGCTAAATAGAGCTTTTACGGTATCTACACTGTCTACACATCCGCATTGTGGAACTATGTTTGAGGCAAGATATATTTTAGAGACGGAATGTAGCTACATTGCATCGAGAAGAATCTCTTCTGGAATGGCATGTAGTTTCTTTAAATGTTTAAAAAAAATCATGTCCCTTTTTGATCACACACTCTGTCTCAAGTTCCAATGAAAGAGAAACTAAGGCATCCACACTTAACGGAATGCGAGTGTCTTTATCACATCCCAAACTGAGATCTTGAAGATAATCAAAGGCCAAATCTCTCTCAGTAGCATGTTGGTAAATAAATTTTACAGCTTGATTCCACGCGCCCTTTGTAGAATTTATCCATTCGCTTGGGACTCGTTTGGAGATAAATTCAGCTTTCTCAAGAGAAGTTCTCATAAAACTTATCAGCGTCATCTACGCGACATCTGAGTACGTAAATATGAAACTTAAGTATTATCATTTCGGCTTGAATGATCTCCTCCAAGCACAATTCACTTTCTTCGTATTTCTCCAGAAGTTGTGCTATATTTGCTGTGTCTCCAAAGAACTCACTGTGCCTATGCAAAATGATTTTAAGGTGTTCGTTCCAGTGGGAGAGGATCGCTTTTGTTGATTCATGAGTGAAGCGCGTCTCGTGAAGAGATTGTTCTTGCTGGTTTAGTTCTTTCATGTTGCGCTGCACGTTCTGCGTATCACTAGGTCGTTCCACGAGTTTTGGAAACTTGATAGAAGAGACGGTTGACACATTAATGGAGTTAAGTCTTCGTTTGAATGCCATTTGTGCTTGTTCCATCCCTTCGCTTGTATCATTAATCAGACGGGATACATCCTCCATGGCTTCCAATGCGACATGACGAACTCTCAGAGCTTCTTGAAAATTCAATGTATCAACACTTGACAGAGACGCAGTTATTCGCCTGATTAGTTCTCTATAGACTGTTTCCATGTAAGGGTTTATATGTATACCAGTCTGGTAATAATTCAACTCATCTTCCCTGCATGCGCTAACCCCACTTTTGTAAAACTGTTCTCCGCCGGCTTCAAATTCATCCAGAGTGAACGGATTGGGGTGGTGTCCGAAGAGATGTCTGTAGATTACGTTAAGTTCTACCTCACGATTAGGATTGGAAAGTACGCCACCATATTCTTCAATCAAATCAACAATTTCCTGCCATTGGTCTTGTTTACCTTTGGACGTTTCCTCTGTTCCCACATATAATTTGGCAAGGTACAAGGGTGTTATACCATGCAGATTTGGACAGTTAACATCAACACCAAGAAGACTTGCATCCTTTAACAGTGTTTTGACAAACCCACTCAGACCTCTGTAAGCCGACAGGTGGTATATTGTGAGCTTGGCCTGGCTGCTGTTGCATCCAATATAAAAACTGGTAATACGTCTTGTAGCTCGGAGCAAAAGATCTGCAGCTCTTTCTGCAATTTTTCTGTCCTGATTAGATGGATACGGGCTTATCTGACCTGCATACATAATGGCAAGTACCAAAGAACTGTGTCCCTGAGGAGTCAAAACGGTAGGATCAGCACCCCACGAGAGAAACTTATTCACCAGAAGCAAATTACCTCCTTGAACAGCTCGATGCAACGCCGTGTACCCTTCTGCGTCACGACACTCGTCGATCACCCGGAATCCTAACGGATGAGCCTTAATAGCTTTCAAGAATGGTCCATCTTTCGAAAAACAATAATCCACATCACAAGTGTAGTGTTCCAGAAGGTTATCTGATGGTGCCGTCGGCTTTCTAAATGCTAACAAATGGAACTCAGAATAGTTGAAAGGTTTGCCACATTCTATACGAATGGGTACATCAAAGCGCTTTAAGACAATATCAAGCCACCTGCCGCCATTCTGTAAGTACATTAACAGAGGTGTTCGTCCTTGTGTATCCTTGAAGTTAAGACTACCACCCTTTGAGAGTATTTGATAAGCAATCACTGGCTGGTTTTTCTCAAAAGCACTATGTAATTGGTATGTCTGTCTTTCGTCGCACGTCTGGGTTAAGTAAGTTTCTCTAGACAGGAGAATGTCGGCAATTGCATTATGATACCTTTGGTTCAAGGCCAGAACCAGATCAAAATTATCCTTGTATGCACAGCTGTCTTTCTCAAAGAAGACAGGATTTAGCACTCCAGGTGCACATTCAGTGGTAACATCTAATGGGGTTTTACCTTTATTGTCAGTTACATCTGTCCTTGCTCCCTTTTGCAGTAGGTATACGACGCAACTCTCTTCTCCATTTTGTGCTGCAAGATGTAGAGCTGTTCTACCATTTTTATCGACTTTATTTATGTACGAATCATCTGTTGATTCGGTAATTTCTGACAGCTTTAGGCACTGAAAGGTTAACGGCACAGTCCTTTTAAGGATACGCGAATCACGCGTTGCCGTAATATGACCCTGTAAACTCAAAACTGTAGTAAATGATGCACCGTAAGGTTCATTGAATATCTCGCTGAGGCCGAGAACCACATCAATATTTTCAAAAGCGTTAAGAACAGAGTAATGTAACGGAGTCATTTCGTACTGATCAGTATCATAAATGCTAGCTCCCATGTCTATCAAGGGTTTGATGGCCTTGTTGATCTTACAAATAGCACCACTGTGTAGTGGTGTCGACTGGTTTTGACTTCTACTGTTGACATGAAGTGATGGTCTTTGAGAAATAAGCCATCTAATAAATCTGTAATGCCCATGACATGCAGCTACATGAAGTGGTGTGGCACCCTGACAATCCTGGTCGTGAGCTTTTGCACCGTATCGCAAAAGTAGGGACCCTACCTCAGTATGACCGTACCTTGCAGCCAGTAGCAATGGTGTCGAGCCACAGTGGCATAGATCTTTATTGTATTCTACTTCTTCACTTATGCTTAGAAAGTCATACTTCGTTTCGCATTCTTTCATCGTGCGGTTGTCAGAAAAGGATAAATTCTGAAAGAGTCTGCACTTCTGAGAAATTCGTGCCCCACTCTGAATAAGCACGTCTGCCATCTCCACATGGTTTTGCCTGACAGCCTCGTGAAGTGGAGTTCGACCTGTGAAGTCAGTGCAATGAACTGTCTTTTCTTCCTGGGATAACAACAGTTTGGCTACTTCTGTGTGGTTTCTAGCTACAGCCAAATGAAGTGCACTTTGGCATAGGATTTTATACTTATCGTCTGACAAAATATAGTCCACGACATCGCTGGAGTTAAAACTAAGTTTTGTTTGATATCGGACCCTGTTTGCAAGCCAATAAAATGATCCATCACATCGCATGCAGGTATCTACTACACCAGTCTTTAAAAGAAACTTCACAACGTCTGTGTGACCTCCGGCAGCTGCATGTTGAAGTGAGACGTGATCTACTTGCGCTCCACGTTTGTACAAAACCTGAACAACTTTTACATGTCCATTCTGTGCTGCCAGTTGAATGGCCGTCAGGTTGACACCATTTACATCACGAAACGAAGCATTTCTCTTCAGTAAGGCTTGAACTACAT